ATACTATATGATTTCAAAAATATTTCTATAAATTTTCATAATATTTAAATAGTTATTAAAAAAATTATATTAAAAAACCAATTCCAAAAATTTATGACTCACACTGTATATAACATTTAATTTTTATTAAGTTATTTATATACAATTACATTGTTATAAGATTAATTTAAGTTAATCTGTTATTTTCACTTATATTTAAATTCATTGATATAATATATACTCTAAAAGTGAATTTATGTTTTCAGAGAAACTTATTTAAGAGATAAAAATTCTACTACTGGTTTAAACCATCTAATCTATTGGTTTAAACTTGTCTTCAGACAAAATGTATTAATAGAACTGGCTCAAGATACTTTTTAGTCTTTTTTAGCTAATTTAACAAAATCATATTGTGAATCATTTTTTATATTATTTAATAAAAATTTTTTTAAAATCAAAAAAATTAATCAAAAATTAGTAATTTTTACAAAAATCAATTAAAAATATAATTTAATAATCAATATTTTATTTTATATGATAAAAAAAATATTAAAAATTAAAAAATACATAATTATTTGAATATTATAAAAATACATAAATTAATATTCATATATTGAATTAATATATTTTTTAATATACATTTTACAAAATATATTTTTATTTTATTATATATATTTACAAAATATAATTTGTTTTAAAAAATAAATTTTATTTTATAAAAGAAAATTAATATATATTTATTAAATATTGCTTTAAAATAAACAAATAATAAATTTTATTAAATTTTATTAAATTTTATATTAATTATTTTATTTATATACACTGAAAATTTTTTAAAATTAATTAATTATTTTTGATATTAAAAAATAATTGCACAAAAATCAATAAGAAATATATTGAAATAAAGTTTGAAAACATGGTGATTATAATAATACAAATTTGATAAAAAATTTTTTTTATTAAAAATTAAATTTTAAAGTATTAAAATTAGTTATAAAAAATTAATCGATAGCAATCAAGATATCATATTTTTTAATAAATATCCTTTTTTATTTTATTTTATATTATTTGAATTTACTGGTTATTTTAAATAACAAACATTCGTCGATATGCATTTTTATCGTGATAATTAATTTGGGTGTAGAATTGATTTCTATATTTTCACAAAAAGTTACGGTTTCCGATAAATGGATATAAGAAAAACAAAAATCAGATAAGCCATTCGCCTAGACAAATCCGTCATCATTTGATACCACCGTATTGTAAAATAAGAAGCGGAAATCCTTTTTTGAATTTTTGGAAATGAATTGTACCCCCGTTTTTTTCTATTGTGATCTTCTCCTTTAATGCCATGCAAAGGATAAATAAACCTTTTATCATTGTCACCTAAAAGCTATTTTTATTATGACGTAAGTAAAAACAAAGTCTAAATAGAAACCAAATATAGTAGAATAACTTATTGATGTACAGTATCAATATGCCGAATTATAGTCGACGTTTTATCACATCTTTGAAGAGCGTTAATCACGCCTTTGAAATATGGATTTATAGATGCGGGTGCAATGCGTATGTTTACCTAGGTATGCACCGCGTGTGTACACATACAGGGGGTTAATTTAAAAATATTGGAAAGAACGCCCAACCTATAGATTACGTAACAATTGCATCTTCAGCTCTGTAACCTATTAAATTGATACCGAGAATCAAGTTGGTCTCCCTAAAATTTATAGGATGTCAACACAATACGAGCCTTGCTCCTTAAGGAGACATAAAACACATGGGCGAGATGACGAAAATCAATTGGATGAGTAAACAGCGTGCCAACAAGATAAAAATTTGTACTTTCAATATTTTTTTAAATTGCAACAGATAATGTATAAAGTTGTATATGGGGAAATTAAAAAGTACCAAAAGGGAAAATGTGTTGGTAATCCAATGTGTCAAAAAAAAAAAACTTTTTTCACAATAACTCGACAACAATATTAAGACCAGATGATCTTTACGCAAACAGTTCATCTATGCATCTCTATCCTTATATGGTGTTATTTCACCAGAAGGAAACGGGTCTTCGATTGGCGATTGGTTACTTGGATGGTCTTAAAACTTGGCATAGCAATTGTATAATTGTGATTGGCATTTGAGCCCTGCCACATAAAAAAGTAGAATGAGAAATCACACTTTGGCAACATCCACCAATCGTATAGTCAAAGACCGGAACATATGCTTGATTGACAGGTCACGAATTAAGGTAACAAAACAAATCTTCTTTTGTTACCAAGCCACATTGCATGTAAATCCGAAATATATGGATAGTTCTAGAGATGCAAAGAGTTTCTCGCGGCATGGAATTGCAGAGAGAAAACCAAGGTAGAATGACGCATAATGCTATCACATTTTCATTGCTTTTTTTGCGACCGAAACGGGATCATGGTCAAACAAAGTGACTCTGAAATGGTGGAGAAATCAAAACAATTGCACAAATCCTGCTGTCGATGAGATCATAAAATAAAACAAATACGCACGGATAAACATTGATATAGCACTGTTAATATACAATATACCACTAAAAATAGTGATAGACCAGAAGAGAATGTGATAAAAGGAAAAGCTACGTGATCACACACACACTTGCGCAGAATAACAAAACGGATTGTTGTTTCCGCCAGAAGAACCCAAACGAACTTAATAAAATGACCTATTCGACTTTCCTGTCCTCTTTGAAGGATACCTTATTCATAAGCATATTGGGAAATTCCGTTCCATGAGAAACATCGGATGTGTTATTTTCAGGATTTGGTTTTCCGTGTTCATCCCATTCTTTCTCAATAGTTAATTTTGTATCCATTACAAATATGGCATTGCAGAAATTATTCTTTCAATAGTGTAACGAAAACGGAAAATTCCTCTTTAATAATGACCACTGTTAAACCTCTTTCAATAGTTATTACGGTCTCTCGAAGAGGGAAACGAACTCAATGTGGAACAGAAGGATTCTTGGTGAAATAAAGTGTTTTGTGTGATCTAGTCAAATGCAAAGAGGGTTAATAAAGAATCATGCTGATTCTGATGCTCATCATCATCTTGTTACTACGATATGCAGCGTTCAACTCCCTTAAAGGAAATCGAAATGAGACAAAAGTCACATGGGGAGCCGCGATTGTTCAAAGAAACTTGAATTTCAGCAAGTTTCTCTTCCCGAAGAAATAACTGTAACAAAGATATGGGCAAATGCGTATAGGTTAAAGTTATTCTTGGAGACGCCTAATAATGAGGTGATGGTCGGGGGCAAAGAGGTGCGGGTGACGAGATTACAATAGTTGGGACGTTCATTATATTCGAAAAGGCGAATCTTTGTTTATCAAACGTATTCATGGGTTCATCTTTCCCACAAACACTATTTCTATATCGGGGTACATAACATGACAGTAATCTTTCATTTTATGCTTTATCATACCTTCATTGACATGCTCTCATTCTTGATAAAGCCTCGGATACATGAGTATTTAATTTGTCTAAACTGTTGATTATCATTCTAGTTCCTTTTCTCAGTGCTATCTATATGGTGTTATTGTGTGCTGACCAAGGTTTTTTCCGATTGGTCCGTTGTGTGAGAGACTTGTTATAAATACGTATACTGCACAAGTAAAAAAATTTTTTTTCTGTCTAAAGCCTACACTACAGGAAGACCTTTTCGTCGTCGATTAATTTTATTTTAGTTCCTGGTCCAGTTATTCTCGTATCGTCCCTGTGACGTCATTATTCTGAGATTCCCTTCTTGTTTGGAATAAATAAAATTCTCTATAAATACGTGCAACCTCCAAAAAAACTTCAAATATTTACCATAAGACTTTTGGCGCAGTAGATTAAATAAAAAAATGAGTAGTGATTATTCATATCACCCAGTTCCCGTGAATGAACCCACAGACGACCAAACAGAACATTTGGATGGCGCATTCATAAATGCACTCGCTCGTAAAGATGAGGATGAGCTTCTGTAAGACTCGCATTATGCAGCAAAAAATTTTTTTTTCTTTCTAATCCGACAAATCTATTAATTCGTTCTTTTCATTATCTGTTTTTTTTTTTAAACTCAATAGAATAACAAAACCAATTCCTTTGGACACAATTGAACTTAACAATCGAATAACTAAACACCAATCATCATTCGATCGACTGTTCTGCAGGAGATTCTTACGCATACTCAGGATACTCTTCTCACCTGTGAATCCCAATGGTAACTTGATTCTAATATGGACACTGTTTATCACAATGAGTCTGTCAAAGGAGATTGCGGTGTATTACGCGGGGATCATCCCAAGTAAATTTTACAAGGTTTTGGTGGGACAAGATCTAGAAGGGTTCAAAATGGTGACCATCTTTTCGGTCGTTGTCGTTTTGGGAGCTGGTTTGGTTGGTTTTCTACTTTCTACGAAAAATGAAATTGAAAGAGTACGAATAATTCAAAATTAACAACATATTCCATCCTCGTCATTTATAGGGCATGAGCTTGATGAAATTAATTGGAAGTTTCTTCTCTTTATCGACGCGAAAGGTTCTGACCAAGCATTTGCAAGATCGATATATTAAATCAGACTCCTTTTATCGACTTCTGGTCACTCGCGCGGACATCGATAATCCGTGAGTTTCTATTGGTTGGCTTTGTCCGCGTTTTATCACTACTTACTAATGCTTTATTTTTACTGTTTCAGTGATCAACGTATTACCCAAGATGTTGACAGATTTTCGGAGACCTTGAGGTCCGTCTGCGAAGAAATAATGGTGGCTCCGGTTCTCATTGCCTATTACACTTACCAAACGTGGAATCTTGGAGGATTCTTGGGACCTGCCATGATTTATCTTTATTTCCTTATTGGTCTCGTGGCGAGCAAATTTATGATCACACCCTTGGTGAATTTAGTATTTATGAAAGAATTTTACGAAGGGAATTTCAGGTATATATCAGAAAAAAAAAAAAAGAAAAGTGCGTACACCTTCCGCGTCATAATACGTATTAATACGTTCTTTTTAATTAGGTTTCTTCATGTAAGAGCTTTTCAATCTTCCGAGTCTATTGTTCTCGGATGGGCTGAGAAGGCGGAGAAGACGCGCTTGGACACAGTTTTCAATAAACTTTTGGAATATACACGTCAAATTATTGAACGCGAGTTCGTTTTGCAAAGTAATTATTTTTTCTTTTCTCAGTCGAATGTCGAGATGATTCAATATTCACCCATGTATTATTTCCATAATAGCATTTACCTATTCATTTGCCTACTTTGGGTCCATCGTGAGCTATCTTGTGATAGCTATTCCCATATTCACCGGCGCGTATGACAATGTTGAGAAAGGAGAGCTAAGCAGTATCATCAGCATGGTGAGTGTCATTTGTTGCGCGTTCATTTGTCCGAAATAAGTGATCCACTATTAATACCAATATTTTATTTGCAGAATGCCTTCTTCTCGATGTATCTAATAAACAAATTTACGAATATCATTGATCAATCAGCTAAAATCTCGGATTTGGCTGGTTACACTTCACGTATCGGTCAACTGTTGGAGGCACTCGACGACATAAACATGGAACTTGAGAATGTAGACATCGATCACCCATTTGAAGAGCAACAAAAGTAAGTTAATCTAAAATCATGATTTTGGCATTAAGTATCACGTGATTAATCACCAAATTTCTAACTTCACAAAATAGTTCGGAGTTGTCGATCCTTTTCGATCATGTATCATTTACCACACCGTCTGGATACAAGCCACTATTGTCTGACTTCAAATTCCTTATAGAACAAGAAAAGAATGTGATGATTATAGGACCTAATGGAAGCGGAAAGTCATCAATACTACGAGTGATGTGTGGATTATGGCCCGTAGTCAGAGGACGTGTTTTACGACCAAATTTACATTTTAGACAAAAGATGTTAATGTATCTTCCGCAAACCCCATACTTGGTGTTTGGTTCCTTAAGAGATCAGATAACCTACCCCATGATAAATGATGAGAAGATTCAATATGGTAATGATTGATTATTTTACGCGTCAAGTTAAATTTCTATTTTGGTTTCTCGTAATCTCAAATATTTTTTTCATTTTACAGCAACCGATAAAGAAGTTGAAAATTTATTAGCGAAGGTGGGCTTGACACACTTAAAGAACATTGTGAGCAATTATGATGCACAATTTGGTCTTGATTGGAATAAATTACTGAGTCCTGGGGAGCAACAAAAACTATCATTTGCCAGACTATTCTTTTGGAAGCCAGTGTTTGCGGGTAATTATTGCAACAGTTGTTTTAGCAAACTTTTAACTTGATCAACACCGATAATAACATATTGATCATCAATTGATAATGATAGCACTCGATGAATCAACGTGTTTACTAGACTCCACCACTGAATCGCGCTTCTTCGAGCTATGCAAGGAGGATGGCATAACATGCATCACGGTGTCTCACAACAAGAACCTGTTAAAATATCATGACAAAGTATTACTATTGGATGGAAAAGGACATTATGCAACCAGTGATATTGATATCAACGGATCAGGAGATATCGAACGATGGATTTCACATCAATTATCCAATGCAAAATAATTAGCAAGAATTACAATTTTATTATTTACCTACAAAAATTCAACGAACATTATGTCATCATGCATAAATCATAGCAACTGCATTAACAAAACCAATAATTTAGTAGAGTCATTGTTTATAAATCAACAACCTGTAAAAATATAGCATTCTTATATATCATACATGATAGTTCGGCTACGTTCTAATTATGCCAAATTATGTGCGCATAAATCGGCTTCCTTTACTGACCTTCAGTCAGATGAACGAAGACGGCGGCTATTGTTCCGACAGCACGCGCAAATTATCCTCCCGAAAAAGACATTTATTTCTCTTTTCTTTTTATCATCTATCAAGACTTTAGGACATTTGATTGTGATCTTGATTATATACAATAAATAGTAGAATAATTCTGTTCTATAGAAAAGTTAACTGATGCATTGTCGATGAGGCTCGAATTCGTTTGTAATTTCAAATTCTTGTATAACTGTATTTAAACACGAAAATATTTAAAACATGAAGAAATTTTTCGAAATATTATTAATTGAACATTATCTGCTTTCAATAATTAAATTACTCACTCACTAATTAATTAAGTCACGAAATAATCATTCATTATTGTATCATATTAATTATTCTCTAATAGACAAAGCAAGTAATTTATCGATATTACCGATTATTCAAAAAATAAATAAATAAAGATGGAAAATAGCAAAGTATATAAAGAATATATTCAAAAGATGTTTTATGAACGTCGCTACGAGCGATCAACTAATAAAAAATAATATACTGTATAGTAATATGATTTTTTAAAAGATTCTGTCATCGCTATACCAGAAATAATTTTTTTTTGTAAACTAAAAAAAAAATTATAAGAATTATAATAAAAATTAAGAATTTTGGATAATAAAAAAATTAAATAGAATTTGATTTGTTAATTGGAAATGGATGCAGTAAATACAATAGATTGCTTATATTAAAATTGGAAATTCAATATACCATACTTTATACAGTTCTCCAATAAATAAAGGACCATATAAAAATTATTATAATTAATTAAAAATATATAAAACCTTTTATTTTATTAATAAAAATAACTTTTATGTACTAAATAAACCTGTTTTTCATAATGAATTCTATCTATGGCTAAATTTTTATTACATTTGAACAAAAATTTATTATTACATTTAATGATTTTTTTCCAAATAAAAATTTTTTAATTTTTTTGTCAAAATTTTAACACATTCTCAATTTTTATAACTACTGTTTTAACAGATAATTTAATATTAATAAATTTTGTTTAGCATATATTAAAATATTTAAATATTCAGTTTCATAAATTTTTACTTGATATTTAAATTTTTATTTGATAAAATGTATAATATTTTAAAAATAATAAAATAAAAAAAAAATTATTACATGTACAGTATGTAATCAAAAATAGTTTTTATATATAAAACCTTCTATTTTATTAACAATATCAAAAAAATTATTTTTAAGTAAGTAAATATGATCTTTTTATTATATTATAAAATTTTAAAATATTTCATATGCAAAAAGTAACAATATTTCTTATATGACCAAATAATTATTAAATTTAATGCTAGCTTGTTTATAGAAACTATCTAAGTGATAAAGAATAATCAATATTAAAACTGATATACATTAAAAAATAGTATTAAGCAACTATAAATATGTACTTAGATTTATATATAAAAATATTATACAAAATAAAATATTTAAAAAAAAAAAATATTAAACAAAAAAATAAATACAAAAAAACTAATTATAAAGTTATAGATACTTCAAATACGTAAAATTGCTAGACACATTATACTAATAGTTTTATTTAATTAAAATATAATAATTGTATTTTAAAAATGATTAGGCTACTATTACTAATTCAAATTTGGTTATTCAGCTGTCGAATTACAGCCAATTAAATCCAAATTTATTAATAAAAGTTTATACCGAAGTTTTGTTATTTGGTTTAATTTATGCCATTTAGCACTTAAAAAAAATCCAATAATTTGGCAAAAAAAAAATATAACATTCAGCAATAAAATCATTTGGCAATAAAATTATTTGGCAAAAAAATCATTTGGCAAAAAAAAAATCATTTGGCAATAAAATTATTTAGCAAAAAAATATTTTTAGTTAAAAAATATTTGGCAATAAAGTTACAATATTCTGTAATAAAAATTATAACATTCGACAAAATTATTTAGCATTATATACTTTAGTAAAATCAAATTGTATATTTTCAATAAAAAAATTTTTTTTATAATAATATTTGGCAAAATTTAATTAATACTTGATAAATTTATTAAAAATTGTTAATGGAGAAATTGTATGGAGCATGGCTATAGTATGTGATCTGGTACATCACGTACTCTGAAAATTGGAAATAATTAGTAGGTTGCATAAGTGATGACACAATAATTAGAATTTAAAATAGACTTTCCATAACTTCCCTTGTAAGGATAGTCTATCGATAGTTTATTTTTCCTTAATTGTTTTTCTAGTAGTAACAACAATATAAATAGAGAGAGGCCATGCAAATAAGAAAAAACCCATTCCTTAAATTAAAATTTTCTTAATTAGAACATGTGATAGTCATTGCTACAGATAAAATGCTTGAGACCATGAAGGGAAAAGTAATAAAGATCTGTTAAGAGAAACAACAATGGAAAGAGAAGGAAAGAGTTAGTGGAACTCAGCTAAACAATCCATACGCTTTAAGTAGAGAAGCCAAACACTTACCGATGTTATGCGAGAAGTGTTCCGAAGAAGCGACAGACTCATCTAGAGAGATATCAACAAAATATAAAAAATTTAAATTTAAAATAATTATTTACTAGTTATTCATTAATTATTTGCTAATTCTTCACTAATTAATTATTCAGTAATTATATGTATATTATTTATTAAATTCCTTCATTTTTTCATCTGAATCTTTTTGTTCATAATCTTTAGCTTTTTCTTTTGCTAATTTTGCCATGGTTCTTATAATTCTCAAAGATTTTATAATGTTGAGTTTTCTTTGTTTTGGTATGCTTTTTTGTGGTTTTTGTGTTTCTTGTAATTTTTCTTTACTTTTCTTCTTTAATATTACCCCCGAATTTTACTTATTTGTATATTTTTCCTAGTTTGATGCTCCTCTTCTTCTGAATACATAAGTGATTTCTCATAATTAGATATTCTTCGTCTTTTATGTTTTTTTACTAATTGTTTATCTTTTTTATTTTGTTCTATTTCTTGCTCTTCATTCTCTGATTTACTAGTCCAACTTGACATATTCTCTGGCGGCTTTACATTGTGACAATAAGATTCACTATAATTTCATTTACAAGTTGTTTGAAATGGTTGAATTGACTTTGAATGTTTATTCAAATTTTTCAATAAATCTTTCAACTATAAAATAATTAGTAATAAATTAACTATTCAGCATAAAATCATTTATTAAAAAATATCTCATCAGAATACCAACTATAGTTATATATATTTATTCTTCTTTTATTATCATTTTTTTGATCAGTTTCACTTTCTTCAGTCAAATAGGCTTTTGGTTCATTAACTGTATTGATTAATTCCTTCTGATATCTTGCAATACTCTTAGACTTTTTGTTGATAAGTAACTGTGCACTCTTTATTTTTTGTACACTTGAAGTTCCATCACATTTTAATAAATTTGCTAATAGTCATTTTATATGGATTTTCTTATGGATTTTAAACTTTAGAATAAGATTTAATTTGCTGGATACTGCAACAGAAGCATTTATAAAATTCATGAAGTTGGTATTAATTAAAATCAGTGGCAACAAATATGAACTTTTTTGTGGATCATTATACATTATACATATTGCTGAAATTCGTAGATCCTTGACGCAATTGATGCAATTATTTGACGCAATTAATTGAGTCACTATTAAAACATAT